TGGAGGGTGCTGGAGTGGTGGGAAAGTGTTCTGGTACTAGAGAACCCAGACAGGAAGGGAAAGCATTCACTTTCGTATTTCTACCGTTCCCCACTCACCCCTTCCTATCTTCTGTTCCTACACAGACCAACAATTAAAGGAGGCTATTTGTGACACCAGAAAGGATTCAGTTTACACATGTACTTTTTGGTCACAGGAAAACTGCCTTGCATCAAGCATGAGTATGCTTGGGTCCTCTGAGCACTGTGTTAGGAATCCAGGGTCAAGTCGACACCAAAGACAGCCTGACCTTCACAGCCAGAGCCATGCAGGTGGTCTGCACTCCAGAGGACACAGATAAGAGTGGGGACATGGTAGGGATTGCAGAGTATCTAGCTGCTATTGTTGGGACCACCCAGCAGGTCCCCAGAGATGCCCCAGGGCTCTTCTCCTGGCAGCCACAATCCAGTCATTGCTCTCTAGCATGCACAAAGCCTCTAATGCAGTTTCTGTTCTCTAGTCACAAGCCACTTGTGGCTCTTTACAAATCTTTGACCACATGCTTACTATAAATATGAGCAATTTAACAACAGCCACCCCACCCCCCAGAGGACAAGTCACCAAGGCACCTTGGGGCCTTCTATCCTCCCTTCTTCCCACCTCTTGCAGTCCAAGGTTCTGAGCAGTATTTTGGCTTGAGCTTCATCCATCTTCAAGTCTGGGATGCTAGCGTAACATGGAAAGCCCTGAAGTCATGAGCAGAGGAACAAGGCTCTTTGTGGATCATACTCCCAAGCAGGAGTGAAAAGGAGAAAAAAGTATGTCTCCTGCATCTCATCCCTGGTGTCAGGTTTCGTTAGAGTCTCTCTCCAGCTCTTCTCCTCCCCATCCCAGCATGGCTTCATAAGTCTCCTGGTCCTTTCCTCCACATCATTCCTTCTTCTAAACATATTATTGGTGCGCATTCTCCCCCACAGGCATCATCTTGACCCCTGGGACTGTTGACAATCATCACACTGAGCCTGGCATTTCTGCCCCCAGCCAAGATTGATTGGCCTGGTGCTACCCAGTCCCTGGATATGCCCAGAGCCTGGCTATGTCACAGACCAGGAAAGATAAAAGCAGTGGCACAAGGGCACACCCACCTCAACGATGCAGACAGAGGGAGGACCTGGTGGCTACAGGCAGCTTTCTGGAACCTGTGTGCAGATGATCCTGCTGGAGAGGTGGATTTTGGGGGCACACAGGATCCAAATATTCTGTTCTCACTGCCCTAGCACTTGCCCTAGGAAACTGGCTCAGTGACCCAAGTCTTGAAGGACAGGGGGTGAGACAGGGAGGGAAAATTCTCATTAGCCTGCACTCCCGCTTTCCCCTAACCCTTAGTTCCACCTACAGATTGCCCACTGCTTCTCTTCTGCTCACCCTCTCACCACCCACCCACAGGCCTGCCTGCCAGGGCCCAGGCTGAGGAGCGGCTATCAATTATTAAAGCAAACAAAAGCATTTCCTAGCAGGGAGGCTGGCCTGCAGCTGCTTACAGGAAAGGCAGCCCCAGCTGGCTTCCCTCTCCCGGGCCCTGCTCATGTACTGGGACCAGCTCATGGGAGAGGGCTGGCCTGGATCCTCCAGGGGTCTCCTGCAGGGGAAGGACGGGTTGGGGCCCTCCATGTCTTCCCAGCCTGTTAAGAACATGAGAAGACAGCTGCTCCTGTGCTGAGGACTTGGGTCTACAGGAAAAGCTGGGAAGTAGGCTGGGGCTGGGCCTGTTGGTCTCAGAGATTATGTCCTATGGGTTTGGGGCAGGACTAGTCACAGCAGTGGCCAGGGACAAACTCCCCTAATTGGGGATCCCTCTCCACTAGCCTTGTCTTCCTGTGGATGGGTACACAGACCCTCTCTTCTCCCTACCTCTCTTGCTCAGAACTTTCTTTCCTGTTGATAGAGCTTCTCCACTGATTTTACCAAGCCTTCTGGGCCCTCTCTTCCTCACCTTCCTTCTTTAAAACACAGGCATTTTTGTAAAGGCCAAGTTGTAAAATTGGGGAGGGGCAGCTTCTCTGGTACCTGATTCCTGGAGCTTACCAAGGGGAAGAGGGGAACCTAACAGAAAGGGATTTCAGAACCTTCTAACATGTACTCTGCTGTCTTTAGCAGATACTATTGTCTCCCTATGGATTGTCTGAGCCTGTCCTGGGTGCTGAGGACACTAGGATGAATGGGCCACCATCTTTGCCCTAAAGGAAGGCTCCAGCTGGCAGAGCCAGGAAGATGGGGACAAGCAGAGGACATCAGTCTGGCCTACGGTAAGCATCCTTAGGAAACACTGAGAACTGTTTCCCAGACAGGGTGGAGGGCACAGATAGAGGAAGTGCTGGCATGGAGTGGGGGCTTGAAGGCTGCTGAGGCTTTGTATGGGTGCTGAGGGTGGGGGAGGGGGACTGCTTTAACAGAAGGTTGGACTTGTTGACAGTCCTGCTGATTCTCCTACATTGCATGCCAAGTATCATACGGGAGCTAGGAAGCAAGGTTGGGATCAGATTGTGACAAGCATTGAATGCTGATGGTCCGGGGGAAGTGGGACAGGCAAAGGACAGAAATCTCTGGCCTGTGAAAAGCATCCTTAGGCAACACTAAGAACAGTTTCTCTGTGCAGGGTGGGAGGACACAGTGAGCAGGTGCTGCAGTAGAGTGGGTCATTTTATTTTTTTAAATCAAGGCAGAGACATGATCAGAGAAAAGTACTTTGGAAATATTGCTTTGGTCTATAGTGCAAAGAAGATGGCTTCAGAGGAGTGGTGAGAAGCTGGAGTGGGGGCATCAGGCCAGGAGGCTGAAATAGTAAACCAGGGTGCAGTTAGTTTTCCAGCCAGGGAGGAATGGGATCAAGGGCAAGGGATTTTCATTGTTAAAAGTGGTGGCGGTGGGCACGGAGATTGGGACTAGAACACAGAAGGAAACATCTATAATCCTTTAACCAGGTGGCTGTGGGGTAAAGTCAAGGAAAACATCAAAGACAACTTTCTGCTCTAAGCAGAGGGGCAGAATAAAGCCAGGCAGAGGTTGAAGACAGAGGTGCGGACAGGAAAGGAATGCTCTTTCTTGCTGTTTTGGGATGGGAAGACCTGAGCAGAGGGCTGACTGAGGGAGAAGAGTCAAACATGAGAGATGACATGACAGACAAGGTGGGGAAGGGTGGAGAGCAAGGATTAGCCTCACACTCTGGAATCAGGAGGAGAATCAAGGCGTGGGGGTTTCTAATCTGGTTCCTGAGACAGAGAAGTCTCCAGACTTGGGGACGAGCAGTCCAGGCCTGAAGAAGTACTGTGAGTCCTAGTGATATATACCCCTTGGGACTCAGTCTAGACACCTCAACCCAATTTAAGAGACCCCCCCCATGGGGCTAGGAGCAGTGGCAGAGCATCTGCCTAGCAAGAGTGAGGCTCTGAGTTCAAACACCATTACTGCAAAAAAAAAAAAAAGTCCTCCTATGTAGACAATTCTGTTGGTGTTCCAATCCTGGGGTTTGTGGGGAGAACCCTACACACCTGCATCCCACACAGATTGCAAGGCACCACCTCTTTCACACTTGCTTCCCTCTTGTCCAACCTGCTGGCTCTGGGCAAGCAGAGCAGAAGGTCAGAAACAAACAGGAACCTTCAACCCCAGAGGCTCCACTGCAACTTCCCATGTTCTTCTTAAGTTAAAGAGCAAGCCAGAACCACAGCAGGGGGCGGGGGGGGGGGGAAACAAAAACAAAAACAAAACAGTTAATGGGAAGATGGGAAGGGGAAGGAACTACATTAAAATGCTGACAGTAGTTGTGTTAGACAGGTGGGATTTAGTTTTCTATATGCCAATTTTTCTCTATCACTCCTAAAAATTATTGGAATTGGTTCATCTGCTAGACCCTTTATTATTCTGAAATACTCAACAGCAAACAGAGCCCCCAGTGATCCTTCCTTAGGGCCGGGAAAGGACAGGCATGCAGAAACACGCTTCAGTTGCTCATGAAGTGCCCTGTGTGGCTGTTACTGGGTGAGGTTGGAGTGTACAGGACTGGGGATCGAACATAGACTGGTATGCTGGGCCTGGTCTGCCCTGGCAACTCTCTGTAACTCTCTTCAAGCTGCTGGACAGCAGCTGCTCAGACTTGCCAGCAGCCCAGCACCCACCTTGACCCAGCTGCCCGCAGTGAGTCCCTCCCAAATACTAGCCACAGTGAACTCCCTGTAAGCTGTCTAACCTCCTCCCCATGCTCACAGATGGGTTATAAAAAGCCCAGGGTCCCAGGTCTATAGGGGCTGGCAATAAACCTTTAAAGTTCCCATCCACATCCGGGAGTCCATCTCCCACCTAGGTATCCTGCCTAGAACCCTAAAAAAAGAGTCAGAGGAGATAGGCTCGGGTGCTAGGTGCCCAAGGGCTCCCTGCCTCCCGCAAAACCTACCAGAAAAATACCTGACAGAGAGGCGGAGCCCTGACCCATTCTCAACCCCACTCAGTCCAGCAGACTGCCCATTCTCTTCGACACCCATCAGCCCCCAGTCGCATCTCGAGCCCTGCACACCCCCCCATCCTCCAACTCTGAGGGGCGTGGGAAAGGAGAAAGGGGCAGGGTTTCTTGCCTTTCTTGGCAGAAAGCCGCGGAATTGGACAAGCAGATGCATCGGGACTGCCCAGGAAGGAGGGGTTGGATGTTCCTAGACGGCTGGTAGCTGTGGGTCATGGCTCAGGGTCTGCAGGAGGAGGGGATGCCTCCTCCTCCCGAGCCCTGGACCCCAGTGAGCGACGGTCAGAAATCACAGCCCGGACAGCCGGAGTGGAGGCTGAAGCCCCGCCCCGGCCCGCCCCATATCCTCAAGAGGCAGCTGGGCGTTGGGACTGCGTGAATTCGCCAGGACAGTCCGGAGCTAGTAGTGTTCCCTCCACCCCTCGTTCCAGCAGCTAACCATCCAAGTTGAGCGAAGGCGGCGCAAAGCCGTCCAACCCGATTGCTCCGGGTCCCGTCGAGAGCTTACCTCTGCGCAGCGGTGCTGGAGTCCAGGATGCCCGCGCCCTGCATCCAGGAGCGCACCGAGCCCAGGCCGGCGGGCAGCAGCGGCTCCTCCTTCAGGTTCAGCCCTCCGCGGGGCAAACCGTCCTGCGCAGGGAACATAAGGGCGCGCAGTCGGTGGGCGCCCCCACTGCCCGGGATCGGGTCTCGCCGAGGCTGTGGGCGTCGCAGCTCAGCCGACCCGACGGCACTAAGCGCCTCCAGGAGCGCAGCTCAGCGCGGAGTCCCGGAGGCTCAGTGCGCGCTCGCCTCTTGGGCGCTCCCTCGGAGAAAGCGGGTCCGCGGGCGCCGGCGTTGTCCCCTCCCCTCCCGGGGCGCGGGGCGGGGAGATGGAGGGATTCCCCCGCGGCCTGAGCGCTGGCGGGCGGACTGCGAGCGGGGCGGGGAGGGCGGGGAGCGGAGCCCGCAGCCGGTCCTCGCGGAGGCGCCCCAGAGGCGCGCTCTGGCGTCTGCCCAGGGCCGCGGTCGTCGGAGTGGGGTATTGGGGGCGAGCGCCCCGAGAGCTGCCTCGGGCAAGGCGGGGGCACCGGGCTGCCCGCCCTCTCCCCCTCGCCGCCCCCACCTCCTGCCCGCCCGCGGCGCCGGCGCGGGGCGCTGATTACCATCCGGGAGGCGGAGGCTGCGGGCGCGGAGCTTGGCGGCGGCGGTGGCGGCGGCGGCGACAGCGGCGGCAGTGGCGGCAGGAGCAGCAGCAGCCGCGCGTCCCGGGGAAAGGCAGGGGCAGCGCCGGGCCAGCAGACGCCGCCACCGCCAGCGCCCCGCGTGCCCCGGCGCCCCGGCCCTGCCGCAGCCCGGGCGGCAGCACCTGGAGCAGCAGCAGCAGCAGCCCGGCCGACTCCCCCGGGGCCCGGTTCCCGCGCCGCCCCGCCGCGGCCGCCGCCGACCGCTGCTCCCCGGGGCCTGGCCGCGGGCCCGGGCCATCCCGCCGCCGCCGCCGCCGCCACCGCTCCCGGGGGAGCGGGAGCCGAAGGGAGGGAGCGCGGGAGGGAGGAGGGATGTCGCGAGCGGGCGGGCCCAGGGGACTGGGGGCCGGGGGAGGCGGGGGCGGGGCGGTGCGGCCGGCCGAGGGGCGGCCAGGGACGTGACATCATCGGGGGAGGAGCGGCCGGGCTCGGGCCGCCGCGGCGGGGCGGACCCTGGCGAGTCGGTCGCCGGGGTTGGGGGTTGCGGCCTGCTGGAGGCCGCGGGAAAGAAAAGGAGGGAACGGCGGGGACAGGGAGGCCGGGACAGGGAGGATCTGGGGCTGCGCAGCGAGCGAGCTTCGCCAAAGCCGAGGAGCTCTTCACACCGTGCTCAGGAACCGCCAGGGCCTCCCCGTCGCCTCCGGACGAAGCTCCCGCATCTTCGTTGCCTCTACTCCCTCCCCCAAGTACGCGCCGCACTCTCTTGGTCCGACGCCCTGGACTTGCTGCTCTATTGACACCTCCTAGCTTTACTCTTGTTTTTCACCTGCCCCGGCTACTTTCCCAGTAAACCAGCGACCTCGGGTTAACCTCTGCTGTTGAGGAATATCATCTGTCATCTATTTGTCTATCTATCTATCTGACTCTCTATCCATCTATCCATCTATCTATCATCAATCGTCTATTCCCTCTGGTCCCCAAAACTGTGACCCTGCACCTCCCTTCCTTCTCCCTGTCGCTGGTCTCTGGGTTGCCAAAACCTAAAGCATTTGCATTTCCACCTGTGCCTTTCTAAAACCTTTTGACTTCTGATTGCAAGTTGAACACACATAGGACTCAGCATTAGGGCTCAGAGCCCAGCTCACCAACTCTTGTCTTCACAGCCACCTCCCCTTTCTGAGTCCTTTCCTCCTTTATTAGTTTCTCCAACAGAAATCATCTGGCCCTTGACCCTGGGGCAGAGCCATTTCTGTCCCTCTCGCCACAGTCTGGCCTGATGTGTCCTGGCTAGGTTATGAACAAGAGGAAAATCAGTCCAGCAGTTTCCTGCAGAGCACCATGAGATGTGACCTGCCCTTGCTGCTGCTTGCACTCTCAGTCTTCTTTTGTGGAACCTTTGAGTGTGAAGTTAGTGTTCTGCCCCACATTCATCCAAATGAAGGATCCCAGGGGATATCATTGGGTCTCCTCCCACCCCAGAGGTTTCCCCACCTCCTCTCTTAACCTCTTTTCCTCTTCATGCCCACCTCCCCATGACCTGCAGGGGGCTGCCACTCCCACCCAGACTTTTCTAGGACTCAAGCTTTTACCCCAGGTAGAATTATTAAAGGTGGGTCTCTCCCTGGGATGAATTCTTCCCAATCCCTATTGCCATCTCTCTAGCCAACTCTTTAAACTTTATTCCTCACAGTGTGGCCCCTAGACCAGCAGCATGGACACTACCCAAGAGCTTATTAGAAATGCAGAATGTTAGGCCCTGCCCAGACCTGCCAAACCAGAACCTGCATTGGAATAAGGTCCTAGGTGATTTGTATACACATTGTGTTTGAGAAGCAGGGCTTTAGAGAACCCTCAAAGCTGTTCCATAGTTGCTCCACTTCTCTCCCCAACTTTTGCATGTATCCCTGGTTCTTTAATTTCCAGTAGGCCTCTTATCCAGTGGACATAGGCAACCTTGGCAGAAGCCTGCCGCACTGCCTGAGGTTAATGACCTTCCATGTTTCTCTCTCCTCCCATTCTCTTCCCTCCTCCTGACCCAGAGATGGATGTAGAACCTCTTACTCAGTCCCATCACCTGGACTTCCTGAGATTGTGCCATCTGATCACCTGTTTGGGTCTTGATCTTCTCTCTTTTCTCTTCTTAGATCTCTCCACTCTTACAAGAACTGATCTCTTTTCCCCACCTCCTTCTTCAGCCCCTGCCCCTCTTGTTTCTGAAAAAGTTCACAGGAACACTCACCAAGGATGCTTTGCCAATCCCAGCAAGCCATTCCTGGAGGGCTCAAACTCTGGCTCCTTTCCAGCTCTGCCTGTTTGCTTCTGCCCTCAGACTTCATGACCTCTCTGGAGTCGCAGGCCCTCTGACCTACAGCATTGGCTCAACACACCTCCTCCTATGCACCTGGGGAAGCTGACCTGATGACCAGAGGGTGGTCTGTTTTTCCTTCTGCCCACTGAGCACTCTAAGCTGCTGTGTCTGGCTCCCTTCTTCCTTCCTCTCCTCAGAGAATTCATGTGCTCCCACAGCCTCAGAGGGCATCTTTGGGGAAAAGATCACCTAGCATGGTTGGGTGAGGACAGAAATTGGGCTGTATGGTGGGGCAGGAGAGGATCACCTGACTCCAGGGAGGGTCATTATCACAAATGGCTCTGCCCCTAGGCTGAGGTAGAGCTGCTTGGTCTCCACATGTCCATTCTCCACAAGTCAGAGTTTCTCCTGTGGTATAGACACACGACCTCCTGCTGCCTACCAAGCTTGGGGCTTGGAAGTGATCTCTAAGCCTGTCTCTCCCCACCCACAGCCACCTGTTTTTCAGTTCTTAAGAATACTATCTTCCATATCCTCTCTCTGCCTCAGTGCCCACATAGAATATCTTTAACAGTGATACTTAATTCTCCTCCTCTGGACTCTGCCCTGGCTTGGAGGAGATAGATATATGACTTTTCATGCCCACAACTTCCTTATCTATCTCTGGGTCTCCAGCTGTTCACCCCCAAACATCCTCCATCCTCCTGCCACTGTTTTTTTTTTTTTTGTTTGTTTGTTTGGTTAGTTGGTTTTTTAAGAGTGTTGCTTGAATTGGGCCATCGCCTGCTTAGGAACTGTTAAATGTCTCCCTCCAGTGGCTCCTCAAATAGACACTTAGGGACTCAGTTTAGGAATATTCCAGGCCCTTTGATGCCTGTTCCAACTACTCTTGTCAGTTTACCTTCCTTCCCTTTCTCTATAAGTTCCTTGCTTGCCTGATACGAAGAGCTCATAATTGCCTGGATTCAGCTCCCACACTCTCAGCTGCCCCTTTATTTTGCTGGCACTTCCAGTAGGAATGTTTTCACATAGGCAACACCTTTCTGTCATGAGACAGTGGGGTTCCTATGCTTTTTATGGTGTTGCATCATGGTTCTGGAAGGTTCTCTCCAAGTTAGATTTGAGGATAGGTACTTAGAATTAACTTGGGGTGGGATGTCACTTTCCTGCCTGGGAAAATGGCATCCGGTGAAGTCTCCTGACTTGTGTTGGTTTCTCTTCTATCCTAGCAATATGGAATAGAAAGGAAACAACCAGGATGGTGTTTGAAGCTTCGCTGGACCTACAGTTCCAGAGAAGGGCTTCTGGGTTAGAGCTGCTGCTCTGAGGAACAAGGCTTTTGGGTAACAAGGGTTCCTTTTGGCCCAAGTGAGAGGCCAATGGACAAATTCTAGGTCAGTCCTTGGAGTCAGAGTCAAGTATGTCTGCTTCAGATCCAGTTGGAAGTCTGTTTCTTGGAATTCTGTTTTTATTTCACATGATATATCTTATTTCCTTTGCAAATTTCCCCTTTCCACCTTTCAGTTCCATAGACAGGAATTTGGGGGAAAGAGGGGTCATAGTGACAGAAGACACTTGGTCCAAGTCTGCAGAGAATGCCATACTCTTCTGGTCCAGGTAGGGGCTCAAGTGGAACCCCCAGGCTAGTCTCTGACCTCACCCTTCTCCTTCATGCTCATGTCTGGGGAAGGGTTCCTATTATGCCCACTTCCAGAGAATAAATGAAGAATAAAACCCAGGCTGTGCCCTTACAGAGTTCACAGAGCGGTGGCGGGAGACATAAATACTCTGAAGTATAACTCCATAGTGTCCTGGGCTGTTACAGAAGTAGGGGCAGGTACTGGGACAAGCACAGAAGGTCCCCAGACTGAGAGAGGAGGCTAGCATCTCAGACAGAAGAACCAGCCTATAGAAAGACTAGCAGAGCTGAATGAGTGGGTTTGATGCCCTGCCTCAAAGGTGGAAGGTGTCAGCACCTGGGGCATCATGCCTTACATGCCATGCTAAGGAATTGAAAATTTTTTCTGTAAGTCTGAGTCTTAAGACAATACATTCTCAGATTAAAAGAGGGAACTTCTCCCTGCCCCCACCCTCCAGCCAAATGACAATGCAAACCATAGAAAACAGATCCAAGGAGGTAGTGTTTTAGGTGGAGGCTTGCTTGCCCAGGTTGTGTGTTGTGCTGTAGCGCCCCCTGGAGGCCCCAGTGTGTCAGGCAGGCCCTTGAATTCACATTTTAATTCTTGATGGGAATTAAAAAGTAAGAATACAAGAATTATACCACGCACTAACCATAGCTATGCACATAGGTCCACGAAGAAAACAAAAAAGCAAGGGCCATTCCAGAAGGTTTCCCTGAACCTATACTTCAGCTCTCAGCCTTCCCTTCCCTTGACTCCTGTAGTCTCTTCAATCGCTTTAGGAAAAACACAAATACTAGTCTTCACTTAGGCTCCATCCCATTCCTGACATCTAGATTATCATTCAATCTTAAATAGTAACACAATGGGAGCCGAGATGTCAGACCCTTTGGTGAGAGAGTTGAGTTCCCTTTGCCAATCTCCAGACAGGAGCAAAGGCTAGATGTGTTACCTCACTGTTTGAGGCTGTCCACACTCCTGCCAATCATAGTCTCAAAGACAACCCATGTCAATCAATGCCCACTGAAGGATAGGAAGGGACTGCTTTCCTTTGTGCGGTGAGATATGCCCACTCCCTGCTACTTTTCAGAGCCATGCTGTCCATTTTGTTCATTCTCCAGGTGCAGAGGGTCAGGGCCTGTAGCTTTCTACCATGGTTTTTTTTTTTTTTTCTTTTGTGGTACTGGGGTTTTGAACTCAGGACCTCACACTTGCCAGGCAGGTACTCTACCACTCTGCCAGCCCTTTGAGAAGCCGTGTAGCTTTCTAACTTAACACTGGAAGAGCACCCAGCACCCAA